GTATGTTTTATGATGAGATGGATGCATGTTAATGACTAGTGCGACTGATATATTAATTAACAGGCTAATAGTATGTAACGGAGTTTATAAGGACGGTAATATTTTCCAATGGTATAGCTTCCGTTGGAATGATTCCAACGTAAATTCCAACGAAAATATTGCGTTGGAATGACTTTTCTATTGGAATTTTAGATGAAATTTGATGATTCCAATGGCTATTTTTCCAGCAGTTTTTTACTGTAGGAATTTTCGTTGGAATATGCAATTTCCATTGAAATTTTTATTTCCATCTCCGTTGGAAACGTCAAAATTCAACGGAAATTTCAATGGAAAACTCATTCCAACGGAATATTTTTGTTGAAATTCCATTACAATATATTTGTAATTGAATTTCCGTTGAAATTTTATCATTTTGTTGTAGTGTCGTGCATGGGCGTAATATTTCATGTACCCGTTAATATTATCTTGACTAATTAATCCATATATATATATATATATATAAATATTTGATTTTTTTTAAATTGTAACTGTTTTCTTAAAAAAAAATCTTATTTACTATATCAGAAAATCATATTTTAACATTTGGCATGCTCCGCCTAGAGCTTCTGGCACTTGGAGCAAGTCCTATGAGCCTAAGCGGTCCCCTACATCATCGACTCCAGGGCCACGAATATATGACTCATCGACCACTGGCTTATTTCTACAGCCGACATCGACGACACCGCGTTCTGATGCCCTTGGGTCCAAATCATCATAGGTAAAACCACCGCTTCCATTACTACTTCTGGCACCTTATGAGGATTCGGGATCTGAAGAGTCCTCGACGAAATGAAGTGACAATGACGAAATGAAGTGACAATACCATTCGGGAAAAAAACTCTCCATACTCTTCGATGCATCCAGGGATCACGAGGAAGGTATATGTCGTATGTCTCCCTAGTGGTCGATCCCTCGGCCTCATCTCGAGGGTCAGGTCTGGTTTGGCAATCTCCTTCTTGCCGATCTGGACAATCAATATCTTGTTGACACTAATTCTCCTCCTCCAAAGATTCTCGGTGGTCGTATCTCAACAAGCTACAATGGGTTTCTTCATGCGGTTCCGTGTTATCTATCTCAGGTGAAGATTAGCGATCTTCTGCGATCGCCCCATCCACTGGCTCTGGCTTTTCCTGCAGCGGCTCGTCATTAGTCTCAACTTCAACCATCATGGGAGGGGTGGCAGGACAATCGCGGCCCGAAGTCTCTTCTTTCTGTCACTTCGTCTTGCTAGACGATCCACCTGAAGATATCCCCGATCGACGTTTGAAGCCTCTCTTTTGTAGACTTGTCCTTGGCAGAGACTTCATTTCAACTTCCATAGGGATCGGCGATTCATCCATTGCTGGCGATTCACCCTTATCGAGGACCCCTTGTTCTTTCTCCTCGACAATGATTTTGAAAAAATGACGATGTACCTCTTATTTATACGAGACGTTCTCCTCTAATCATCGCAACTTATCGCTTTAAGGCTCGAATTCCAAGGAACATGCCTGCACCCGAACTTAATTACGACAAGATACATAATTTCATTTAATGCTTCGAAAGACGTTTCGTATCCATTCGACGTAATGTCACGTGATCAACATTAAGTTTTCAGGGCGTAGCGACAAAATATTTGGATATAGCTTTTTTGGCGGCTCAACAATCTCTCCCCACTTGGAAACCTGAGGGCCCCTATGTCACACCTAAAATATCCGATCACGAACTCGACATGTTAAACAAGCCCATTGTGCACATCAACCCTCTCGCAGGCGGCCCAAAATAGCAAAATTAGGATTATCAATCCCACGATCACCATCGAAATCTTCTCGAAGAAGCCTGTCGGTCACCCACTACTCTGAAATTGTGAACTATAAAGCTGGTAGCACCACCCAATTTGTCTCATCCAATTATACATGGAAACACGTGTCGCCACTCTACGTCCCTAGCTGGCACTTGACATTTAATGTACCAACACTTTTTTTGTGTATAAATATTAAATACTGACCCCTGGGTCCATTATCAAGGGCATCACAATCGCCACTATCGTCTTTTACCCTTCTATGATCAACAAATCACCTTCTTCCGCATATCACTACACAATACATGATTAATTTCTCGAAGATCATATACAAAAATACTTCTCATACTAGGTTGTATTCACTGTATAAATTTCCTAATAAAATCCCGGAGAAACAATCTCCCTGGCTATCGTCACAACTGATAGACAATATATCGGTGTCTTGTTTTCCTTTTACGAACATTTTTTTTTTCAATTAGTCAATATTTTGTATCATTAAAACACACTATAATTATTCCATAACCCCGATTAACCCACTTTCCACAAATGTTGATGGTCGACCGTCAACAAAATTACACATAAATTAAAATTGTAATCTAATAATCATTCTGAGGAATTTAAACTCATCTAATGGACCTTGTGTATAATTCCTAAAGATAATATGATTGACTTGGACATTAGTTTGGCCAACATACCAAAAAACATGTTTTATGCCTTACATACCATTTTCACTAAAAANTTATATGCTGACATGCAAACAATTCTTGATTAGATTTTATTATACCGTGAAGATCACTAAAACTCGAGGAGAAAACAAATGCAAATATCAGTTTCTATTTCTGTTAATAATTTTGTATTCTCATAACCAATTACATATTTGCTATACAAGAGAACTTCACTTCCACAACCAAAACCTTATTGACACTAAACCACATATGCTCATGAGAAATAGAGCAAATATAATGCATAAAAAAGTTTTAAGCTTGGGCAATTGTTTTAAACTTTTAATATGCTCCATGTCCATATTTTTCATGTTTAATAAATTAATTATAGTTAGTAAAGAATTATGTTTTTAAAGTAACTAGTTCATTGAAAGAGTTTTAAGTTTTAAAGCATAGTACTTTAGTGACAACTAGTACGTAGCATGTGCGATGCACCGGACAGAAGTATTGAATGAGTCATTTCTACAGAACTTGTCCGTTAAGTAATTCGTGCGATCACGGGAGATATTAAATATGGACTATAGGGCTTGTCCGTTCAGGCCTAAAAAATAATAGAGTTTGATCATCTATCTTTGTACATTTTTTCATAAACGTCATTTTTTTTGTCAGAAAATTAAACCTGAGTCTGATAGCGCTAGCCCGTAAATTAATTAATATATTATCTCGCACACATGTTTATAATAATATATGAATTTGATTTCATTATATATATTTATTCCTTGATATAATAAAAATAACAATTTTACGTAATCTTCTTACTCGTATAATACTCATATTATTTTATTATAAAATTTATTATAATATAATGTCATTATTATTATTTATACAAGTTATAAATGTAGTCTTCTTCTTCTTTTTGTTTTATGGAATTAAAATATTTAATGTATGTTTATATTATTTATTAATGTAATTAATTTAAATTATGTAAATAAATTTAAAGTAAAATATTTTGTCATTAAATGACGGGTTAAGACTTGGCGACCATGGCTTCTCATTAAGATGTTGTCTAGAGCTCATTTTTGCTTTATCCTTGTCTCCCTCGCTCTCAGTTTCTGTTTCCTCTTCCAAATCAGGGATTCCCTCTTTCTCCCTCAAATCCGGGCTGGCAGGGTTCAACCCGTATCCTTTTCTGCAAATCGGGTCGTAACCTGCATACAAATTATGGAGCACAGCAAACGGGTCCAAAAGGTCCGAGCCCAACTCATTTTTCTGAAACCCTCACCATTTTTCATCCTTGCTGTTACATAAACGCCGTCATCATCCGAGAAATTCCAATACGAACCTGAGCAACTGTACGCCGGCTTCTGAACCACCGTTCTCGGCGCCGGAGCCGATTTTTCCAACACTCGCGCTGTTATCATCCGAGTTGTGAAATAGGTTATTCGTTGAATCAAAACGGTACCCGTGAAAATGCAAATTGGGCGCAAAACCCTTAACAGAAGGAGAATCCGAGGGATTTAGATGCGGCGACCCGTTAAATTCACGGATTTTTACCGGGAAATGTACACGCGGCGATGCAGAAGTATGACATTAAATTTCTTATTTCTATTGTGCTTATCATGTCATTTATTTATATATATCGTATCTTGTCATGTTTTTTGTCCTAGAAATCATTGTCTTCCTAACTTTCGCTCGCTCATCTAAGAAAAATTATGAAATTCATATACACCTTTGACTTTACAGACCAAATCAACCATGTTAATCTGCATAGGCAGTTTTAGATGCGAATTATAATTGACAAATCCATTGGATTATCCGAAACATCTCACTAGTGGAATTGAAATTTCACGTTTCCTAGTTTTGATTGGAGAAACTGGATTCATTGTTCTTCACATACTCGCACAGAATTCAGACATTATTCCAGGCATGTTGATTGGTGATTAGAAATCTATCAAACATGCAAACACCATTTGCTTTCCATGTTAGGTGGACCCTGCATAATAAGTCGTTTATCTCTCGTTTGCTTGTATTGATTACTGACAATTGGAGATCAACTAATTCGGTATTAACTTTTATTTGTCCCCAATATCCATTGCTAGAGGTTGATAGCAATTTATCTGGAATTGTGAATGTTATTGAAATGTCTTTTTTTTTTTTTTTNCACTTCCCTGGAATTAGAACCTTAACTTCTCAATATTCAGTGACTACTTCTATTCACTGTACAACAGCTAATCAGAATTCAGAGGTGTGGAATTGCAGTTGTCATTGATGACTTTGTATATCCATATACTTTGTAGGGATGAGGGCAAAAGAGACACATGCACATAAAATCTACCACGAGTTCATAAAAATAACTAACATTGCTGGGAGTACAATACTATCACATCCAAACTACCAATCATGGGTAACAGACACGAGATAAACTAAATCCACAAATTACAATCCACCCATCTCATACTAATATAGTCCAATCCTATCCTCCCAAACAGCCCCAAAAGAGTTAGTTTAGTTAAATCCCTTGAAACTGTCACTTATATATCAACAAAGGAATTCTTCTCCAGCAAATTTATTGAAACCCCAAAGTATCTAAAAAAGCCAGTTTAGACTGATATTCCCAAGCCAAATAAGGAGCGGAAACTGTGCAAGGGCTATAAAGAGAAGCAGATAATGGTGTCTGCTCGAGTCAAATGTCCGAACTTCGGCAAATAAAACCCGCTTCATTGTCTTCACCAGAAAAATACCCATGCACAAGCAAGTCCAAGGTAGCAGAAAATAATACGCATAGCCCCAGAAAATTTTGCCCAAAACAGCTAGAGACAGACCTGTGAATGTATAGCCGGCGTATGCTACCATCTCCAGCAGAGGAGCCTCACCGCCACCCAGGGAGAAAATTGTCATTTTGAGAAGGGCCACTTGGAAGGTCCAGCCCACCAGCCCCTTTACAAACAACCAGTTTAGAGCTTCAGGGCTAAATCTGGCAACCAAATTTTGAAGAGTTCAAATTTTTAACATCATNAAAAGACTACTTTGTAAATAACAAGTCTTAAATCTAGAAGTGAAATAGCAAGTCTTAAATTAGATATGTTCATATATTAAGAACATATACGTTCACTGCAGATGGAAGTATCACTACACGGAAATATGTCAATAAACAAGAGGTCAATATAATGCTGTTGCCCTATAGAGAATGAAGAAATACTGCATGTAATGTTCTCGAAATATACCATTACAAATAGAAAAGTCGAAAGAAATATGTTCAGTCCCATTTAGTATGAAAATCTGACATGTGGTTATCCCAAATTCCAATATGGAAGAGTACACATAACAAATCCAGTAAGAAAAGCAGGAAAATAGTCAAAACTAATAACCATGGATAGCAAAAATGTACAGGAAATTAAGGTACCATTGACTGACTCATTTCGGACTAAAATAAACAAAGCGCTGATAAAACAAGCTTGTTAGAGGGAACAAATAACTGTCATAATTAATAAATAAATAAACATACTTACTTCCCATGTAGGCCTAATGACAGGCCAGCAAGAACCAGATAGGTCCCAAATGCCATAAAAGGAATGTACAAGTCTGGGGCATTTATATCATAAATTGGTGGCTTGTAGGAGAGCCTGCCACCAACAGGCTCACTGATTCTCGTCCAATGCCCCTGAAGGATATCCAAACTAGTAAACTTACAGTTGTTTGAGGAACAACAGCAACAAAAAGATGCAGAAATAAAGCAAGATCAGCTAACAAGAAACAAAGATGGAAATCCAAATATTTACCCTGTGCAGAAATGGGAAAAGAACAACCTTCAGTTTATTCTTCACATAATGATCATTCACTTGGAAATAGTATTGAGGGTCTGAGAAGTACCTGCTGATCTGTTTGTACATCAAATAAAAGCACAAACACGAATTGTAACAATAGTCGATTAAATACAAATTAGAGATTTGTGTCTCTATATTCAGCCCAGATTATATCAACAGATTACCAATTCCGTACATACTTAAATTCCTCAATCTTAAATAGGGTAAGTTCATGGGCCCATAGGCTACTTACATTGCTCTGCACATATTCGGAGCTGGATCCTAAAATCTTCTCTCCATATGCACCAAGCCCGCCTTTGATGAACCCTGAACTCGCACCATAGAAGGAGTTCCCAAAAGGATTTGGGACATTCGGCTGTGCATTTGGTAACCGAGGCCCTCCAGGCTGTGCTCCAAGATTATCATACATCTTTCACAGAATCAAACTACAAGAATGAACCTATAAAAAGAAAAAAAAAAAAAAAATGAGACAATAACAAACTCAAGAAAATCTTATCAAGCTATCACAAAATAACTTATTTCCCAATCAGGAGAAAAAGAAGAACGGCCTCTAAGCTTTATTTCCAATGATAGGATGCTAGTACAGATTTGGATCAATAGGTTTAATTATCAAATACATCTCATAGATCTAACATTCAGAACTTGAGTTGGATAAAAATGCAAACTCAATCCACTAGCAGCTTAAGAACAATCCCAGTACTTGCCATCAGAATTCAAGAACTATAGGACGATAGGATGTATCTTTCCAAAATGAATATTCACCACCGAAAAAATCATCCAAGCCCAGAAATGAAAGTGTACAAAGATAGTCCTTTCTATGCTTCAAACTACTGATAATCAACTCAACATCTACCAAGACCTCCTTCAAGTTTGTTATTGTCACAAACCAAGCTTGACAACATATCATCTTTCGCTGAAATATAAGACTAGGGCAACGCAAAAATAGTGAAAATCACTGAATCTAAGCTCGTTAAGTAAACCAAACGGCATCAATGGCCAAGAAAAAGCGGGATTTCCCCTTTTCCATCTAAACAGATTCCGATCAACTATGCACCATACACAAGCGATGATCATAATTACATTACATTTTTTCAAGTAACTCGAGAAGAAATTCAAATCCTACTAACAAAAATACCGACCGACTCAAATCCGACATCAAATCGATTCCCAAATTTCCGAGTGGAATAGTTGGGCTCATACATGTGCTTTCAAGTGACAGATCTCTCAAACGAAAATCGAAAAGAAAAATCGAAACTTAAACAGTAAAGAAAAGGAGAGAGAGAGAGAGAGAGAGACTTACAGAGGAATTAAGCAGTAATTTCTCGCCGATGGTGATGAGAAATGGCAGTCTGTTAGAGGTTGTAGAGAAATTAAAGGAGGTGGGCCTTTGGGCTAAAAAAATACATTCTCTGGACTGGTTGGATTTATTGGGCCTGTAAGACGGTCTAAGCCCGTTATTGAAGATATTTATTTTTGGGCCTTAAAACGGTTAGATGGCCGCAATAATCATGAAAAGGACTCGAGAGTCACGATTACTTGATGAGTCATTTTCAATGTGTAGTTTAGGCCCAAGAATTATACCATAAGAAGGGCTCGTACAATCCATTGGCGTGGTTAGTATCACTGTCCACGTTGTGATGTGCTCGTTCATTAGCGTGGACTTTGATTTGATTTAATTATCTTTAATGCAATGCACGTTCATTTATTTAATTACATTATTTATATTCCAAATGAAGAGAAATAATTCTTAATACACGACAACTACCAAAGTACCAATATAAAGGGTTGAATTGAAAATAATTATGATAATATTTGAATATAATGATTGAGACACAATCAATACGTGACAATATTGTTACTTTATACATGACATGATTAGTTTAAAATTAACATTCATCCAAGTTACACCCTATTTTACGATGCATCAAATTTAATGTCTAGATATTTCGTTGAAATATTAATTTTCATTGAAAATTATTGAGCCACCATTAATTTATTCACAAAATTTTAATCTAAAATGTCATATTCCTCCATATTAATAAATGCATAGTTTTGATCGTCAGCGGCTCCATGCTATTACCAGGGATAAATACATTGCGATTTTTGACTCGATTTACATATGATTTTCTGTTGTATGACCCGACACCTTTTCCGTTCGTCTTGACGGGCGACGATCTCGAAGATATCTCAATTGAAATTTCTTGAGAGAGAAAGAGAGAGAGAGAGGGGAGCGACTATCTGCGAGTGATTGTGTAGCACTCATCAATCCATATCTAAGAGATGTGGTGTATTTATAGGCTACAACAGGGACACTTAGGAGGTGCTAAATATGGGTTTTCCAAGTTTGGGCCTAACCGTGAGCCAAGCTCACTCTGCTCAAACTTGAATAATATTTCAGTCCACTAAAAAAATATTATTGCACTCTCCATTTAGCGTTGAAATTACATTTGAGACTCTAACGATAATTACCCGATTTACCTTCTCGTAATTAAGATATAATATTCATCAATTGATTTAATTATTGATAATATAATTAATTGACTTCTTGAACCGAGACTAGTACCATTCAAAACTTTATTATTAAGTCGGAATAAATACTACCAGCCAGGTTTAACATAATAATCCGTCTTCAGCCCATCTCTGGGATATCATTGGACATCGCACACGGTTACTGTGAATATTCGAACAACACACCAAACACACAATACTACTACCCAAAACACGTCAAGACTTTTGACCTATAGTTGAATGAATCTCACTTTTTGGTGAATCAAAGCAGCAGTTATTGCATGCACATGCCTATTTATATTTTACGGGTTTAAAGTACGTAGTAATTAACCGAGTTCTAGTTTGTTTACTTTATTAGTATAAAACAAACTTATCCTATCTGGATCCGTGCAATAATCATAATGTACTAGTGGAAACAATCAGTTAAGACAGACTGTACAATTAACACTATAACCGTGCATGATGGGTCGTTCATTACCTGATTACTTATGTTTCACAAGTAACTAATATGTGATTTTTTATCCATCCGTGATGTCTAAATGTAAAACATCAAAACATAAATTGTTTAGTTAAACATGATTCTCATTCAAAAGTGATAAGTATCAACAAAAAAGTCGAGCTTTCAGTATACACACCAACTGACCAACAGTGGCGGTCAGGGTACTTTCGACTTGTGGGGAGAATTCTAAATATTAGGTTGTTTCTTGTTTGTTTTTATGCTTTAGATTTTTCCTTTTTTCTTGGTGCTTTTTGTTTCCTGATTCTCATGTTTGGGAGCCTTTATTCTTCGCATGTTGGACATTTTTTAGTTTTTAGTGTTTGTGCGGTTGTTTAGTTTCTAGGTTTATTCTAGGCTACCTTTGGTGTAGTCCTTCTAACTAGATTCAGATGAGTAGTTGATTTATTCGGTTGGTTAGGTGTTGTCTAGTATCATTAAAAAAAAAGAAATAGTTAGAACTTAGAACTTTGATGTAGTAAGCCAATATCATCAGAAATAATATATCTCAAAGAAGCGTTTGGTATACATAAATGTCTTCACGCAAATTAATTATTTTCCCAACCATCAACAAGGTATCGACAAAGTTGATCTCTTTCTCAATTTAAAACGCTTTATACCGTCTATTCATCACACACTGGAGTATTCCTCATATAAATATTAATGAAGAGAGCATAATTATTGTCTAATACGTACTGTGTGTATATTTTTTTGAACGCTACCACTATTGTTAATAGAGATTTTAAATGGTCCTTGGCCCGACCGTTAAGCCCGAAAAAAATAGGGTTAAAGCCATTTATTAGTAGTCCGTTTAAATCAGGATTTTTTAGATCTAGACCGTTTATCTCGAAGTCCGCTATGGTTGGCCCGAAATCTGCTAGGGTTGGCCCGAAATCCGCTAGGGTTGGCCCATTTAACTATTGTTGGGTGGTGTAAATATTTGATCAAGTAAGTATATACTCTTAGATTCCTTGTATATTACAATTTTGTTATTCTACTTCACATGTAAGTATAAGTTGGAATGTATTATTAAGATTTTGAAAGATAATTATTAATAATATTGTTATTGTACTTCACACTAATATATTTAATTCAATCAGAACGACTAATAGGAAACAATTAAACATAGTGATAGAATTTAGCCCGAATCCTGCTAGGGCTAGGGTTAGGTCCCTTTATTAGTAGCTCGTTTAAATTCGAGTTTTTTAGGCTCGAACCGTTTAGCCCGAAGCCCGCTAGAGCTAGCCGTTTAGGGGGTGACTGTTTATGCATTGTAGAGTAAAAAAAACTAATTCAAACTCAAATTTCACACAACTTTAACTCAACTCCATTATTTTCAATATTATTAATATAATAAAATAATATCAACCAATCATTTTTACACATTACATCAACTTTAATTTACTATTCATCCACTCACATAATTTTAACTAACTATCACTTCCAATCATTTTCTCTTACTTTTACATCAAATCAACTTTAATTATTTTATTTTAAAAATACTATTTTAATATATCTACTAACAACTAACCATACCACTTTTTTTTCAAACTTAACCATAGTTAAAAAAAAAAACTAGATTTTTACTAGTTGAATTCATATCCAATCACCCCCTTAACATCTCTAATTGTTGGATAGGTTAAAGGAAACACATGTACTTTTTCAATTAATACATATATTTTCAAAATAAAATGCAAAAAATAATACAAAAAAATATATAACATTCATTGAATAATTATAAGAATTTTTTATAAAAAAAATGACAGGTTGGTTAAAAATTGGCCGTTTTTCTTTTTCTATATATCACATCTTTTACGTGGCATACTTATTAGTATTTATTACCTCATGCATAGGGCAGATGAACCTTAGCTCCAGCCAACCTTATTTCAACTTGTCACATCAATAAAGCAATCAAAGACCAGCAAAAGACTTCATCTTTACATAAATCATTAAAAATTCTTTCTGTTTTCTCCCATTGGAATGGAACTTGCAACTGTTGAAGGAGCCCACGAACACTCACCAAACAAAACCCACATCATTAGAATGGTTATAGGTACATAATATTATATTAATATTATATTGTTGTACATATTAAGTGGGATCTATCAAAATAAAAAAATTAAATAGATTCCAGTTCATGTGAATATTATATACATTTCTACGTACATTTATAATATGTTGAATAAATTAATCACACAATACAAATATAGCATATCTACAGTAATACTTTTACCCAACCAATAAAAGCAAGAGCAGAACATGCCAATCTCATTGAATATGTCCAACCACATTTGAGAAAACCCCAGAAGGTTTCAGTTTTCCTTGCGCTTATTCACATACCAACAGCGGTTTCTTTCGTACACATGGCGGCGGGGACGCTGGACGTGGCGGAGGTGGCGGCGGAGCTGAGATCCACCTTCGCCGCCGGCAAGACCCGGGCTTTCCACTGGCGGGTTTCGCAGCTGAAGGCCCTTCTGAAAATGGCCACCCAACACGAGGGGGAAATAGTCCAAGCTTTGCGTGCTGATCTCAACAAGCCGGAACTCGAAGCATTTGCTCATGAGGTTTTATTGCTGTCTAAATAAAAAAAAAAAATCAAATCTTTACATTCTTTTCTCCGACCTTTTCGATTTTTAGTTTTTGTTTTTCCTGTTGTTTCTTGATATGAATGGTTTTGTGGCGATTTCGTCTTGTCTTTTGTACGGGTTTCAGACAAATTTCAAATCTTGGACAGGCTTTGTGTTTCTTGGTGTGATTCGTTTGAAGGATGTGGGGTTAAAGATTTTGTCTTTTGCAGCATTTAATGTTTGTTACTGGAGTAATGAAGGATTATTAATTTATTATGGTTTTATCCTCTTCCCACTTGTCTTCTCTGCCTTTGGATGCCAGTTGACGATTTTATCCTTAGCTATATCACATACATTATTCTCTCGTTTTGTGTTATCTTCACTTTCTGTATCAAACTCAGTGTCTTATCTCTGATGTAGATTACCCAGGTGCAGGCTACATGCCGACAGGCATTGAAGGAATTGAACTATTGGATGAAGCCTAAAAAGGTCATTTCACAGTCCAGTAAAATCTCAACCAAGTAAATAACAACTTAATGGGTGTCCTCTGTTTCAAATGTGCAAGACTATGAATTCTTGTGCCTTAGTGCAGGTGAGAACTTCCCTTCTCAGTTTTCCTTCATCAGCTGAAATAGTATCTGAGCCTCTGGGTATTGTGTTGATCATATCAACTTGGAACTTTCCCTTTCGTAAGTCGAATATCCTAATTCTAAAAAATTTAAGTGATCATTGCAATTATAATTTTTGCTGGGTCTCATCTTAGGCTGTCTAATGGTATTATAAATAAAATATGCACTTTTACAACTTATTATTCTAAATTGGATTACATTTTTTCCGAGCAGTATTGTCGGTTGCCCCAGTAATTGGTGCAATAGCAGCTGGAAATGTTATAGTCTTAAAGCCATCTGAGGTGGCCCCCGCAACATCCTCGTTACTCGCAAAGCTTCTCGGAGATTATCTCGACACATCAGCAGTAAAAGTTGTCGAGGGTGCAGTGCCCGAAGCAACTGCATTGCTCGAGCAAAAATGGGACAAGATATTTTACACGGGTAGATGATCGTGTTCTCAAATGTCTTTTGCATATAAGAATTTATATAATTAAGCCGCAAATTTTCTTTTTTTCTTTCTTTAGAAAAAAGAAAAAGATTCTTTGACTTCTCATAATCTAAATATGACAAGATCAGCTGTGTTGAGTGTTGTGGCTCTGCCTCTACTCCAAATTAGTTCTTGGATATCATTAGAGAGATGGATTTAATTGTTGATTTTTTTTTTGGTAATTTTGACATGTTTGAGTTATCAGACGAGTAATGTGCAGGGAACGGGAACGTGGGAAGAGTCGTATTAGCTGCTGCTGCAAAGCATCTTACTCCTGTTGTTTTGGAGCTTGGTGGGAAATCTCCTGTGGTGGTTGACACAGACATTAATCTGAAGGTAAAAATCAAATCTTTTTTACTTACTTTTTTTTTTTTTTTGGCTTTTAATCTTCTTTGTAGTAGTACAAGCAATTTTTAGTATAACTTTTTAAAAATACATATGATAAGGTTGCTGTGAAACGGATAATTTGGGGCAAGTGGGCATGCAACAATGGACAAGCCTGTATTTCACCTGATTATGTAATAACTACAAAAGAGTATGCTTCTAAAGTGGTAAGCATAATTCATCTTATTAATATATGCATGCTTTTAAATGTTTATCTATTATTTTTTTTTTATTTTTTTTTTTCAGTTGAATCTGATATATGTATGTTAGGTGGATGCTCTGAAAGCTGAACTTGAGAAATTTTACGGAAAAGATCCAGTTAGATCTAAGGACTTATCGAGTATTATAAATACGCACCATTTTGACCGTGTGTCGAAGTTATTAGAAGATGACAAGGTTTATGGGACGATTGTTTGTGGAGGTCAACAGGATAGAACAAATCTGTAAGTTTTTTCTTTTGCTCGAGCAATAACAAAGTGCTGTGTTGGTGATAAAAAGTTAAAAACAAATGATCGTTTTATCTTCACCATCTTTTTTCCCCAGCAAGATTGCTCCAACTATCTTATTGGATGTTCCAGAGGATTCTCTGATCATGAACGAGGAGATTTTTGGTCCCTTACTTCCCATTATAACGGTAAAACTTAGTAATGGTTTCAGCCTTCAGGTCAAGATATCCCATAATGCAATTGATGATGATGATGATTTTATTTAAATTTTTTCTTAAAATTTTTTATTCTTTCTTATGCATTAAGGTTAACAACATTGACGAATGCTTTCGTTTGATTAATGCCAAAGAGAAGCCACTCGCTGCGTATCTTTTTACAAATAACAAGAAGCTAAAGGAGGAGTTCATAAGAAACATCCCGGCTGGGGGTATGACGATTAACGACACTGTTTTACACGTAAGCTAAAATATACAAATAAATCGTTAGCATATATACACATATGATTTCAGAAGAAACTAGGTTGTGTTGTGCTGACCAAAATTTGTTGGATATATAGTTTTCAGAAAACGGTTTGCCGTTTGGAGGTGTAGGAGAAAGCGGCATGGGGGCTTATCATGGAAAATTCTCGTTCGATGCTTTCAGTCATAAGAAGGCTGTGTTAAAACGGTGTTTTATTGGGGAGGTGCCTCAAAGATACCCGCCTTATAATCGAGGGAAAATTCGATTTTTCAGGGAACTCATTCAGGGCAATGTATTTGGCGTTCTTGGAGCTATGGCTTCAAGTATATGCAGATGAAAGTCTTATTGAAAATTGTGTTTAGATTTCTCTTGAGTGTTATCTATCACTCAGGTTGAGTTTTAGGTGTGTAACATGATGTACTAAATCTGATAATGCATAAATATTAATTTGGGGATTGAAGAAATTAATTGAAATTATGTTGAATAAATTTAAATACTAAACAAAGTGCACCACTGCTATTCTTTAATGTGTTTTAAGACTATTTTTTCCTAATAGTATCTCCAATGTAACTTTTGACATTATAAAAAATCATCTTTATCATCAACTTTTGAAAGTTCGTTACTAATTTATTCTCCAATACATCTTCTCATGAATTTTTTCATAATGGCATTTAATGTTGACAATGTTAAACCTACTTTCTAATATCACACACTATGTTAAATATGATGACTAATCAATTCACTTTATATTTAGTTTAATTTTTTATCGTTATTGTGATCAATGAATTATTTTAATTGATTCAATTATACAAATAACTTCTTATCAAATTGATGCATTGGAGATACTAATTTCATTCAAAATTCCTAACCTTTTAACATTATTCTTACATGCATTAACATTGAAAATTTTCAATTTTCACCGGTTGCTCACTCTCAACTTCAACTCCCAAAGTTCTAGAACCTTCCCTTACCTCCAACCACACCATCCTCCACAACAGCAGTTTCACTCTCCTCCTCGTTCGAAATCTCGTGTGGGCCCACAAATGACTTGTTACGCGTCTTTGCGACCAAAACCCACATATTCGCCAGCTCGTTCTCCAACTTCTCCTCGTGCCTCATTGCCTCGTCAAGTCTCCTCCGAAGGTCGGCTTCTATGTTGTCCCTCTCGGAAAGCGCGGCCACCAAAGAGGCTTCCCTTTGGTACCGAGCGTTGAGCTCCTGCTCGAACTCCTCGGCGGACAAAAATCGGTGGTCCTCATCGTGATGCTTCCTTGCTGGGCGGGTCCCGCTCTGCCTCGTCTTGCAGCGGGAGTCCTTGGCGGATGCCAGCTCAGCGGCCAGCCTGGCGTTCTCGTACGAGAGTTTGGTTACTTCGTGGGCGAGGTTGCGGAGCTCGACCGCTGCTGCTGCAGCGAGCTCCTTGGCGTAGGAGGCTTCCTCGATTTGCTTCTGGCAGTGGATTTCGAGTTCGTCTTTCCTCTCGGAGATTTTTAGGTTGTCGTGTTTTAGTGATTCTATTTCGGCAGCCTAGAGAGAGAGAGAGAGAGAGATCATTATTAACTAGTATAAGGAAGAAGGATAAAGATTTTTCTCCAATTTCCTTTCTGCTTCTAAGTAATTTTATCAGATCTGAAGGATGAGCACTTTTGAAACTAATTTTTTCACTAAATGTTTTGTTGTCTTCTTACTAATTTTAAGCTTTTACTTGCATATAAAGCCATTCTCGGCTACTTTTGGCTTCTCTTAGAAGAGATATTTTCAGATAGACAGCTGAATTGATTATATATGCTTTCATTTGGGATTTTTCATCCACGAAAAAATTTGGAGGGACGAATGGAAGTTTTTTTAGAATGTGAAAGGATATATGGTGAAAAAGTGATGATTAGAGTTAATTGATATGGAAAAAAAGTAAATAATGATTGGTAACTAAAATTATCTGAGTGGATGATCGGTAAGTTTTATAGAGAAATATATAGTGGTGATTGAGGAGAGAGATATAGGTGAGTGAATAGAAATCTGACTTTTTTATGTTCCATCACAGAAAAAACAAAAAAAAAAAACCCTCCAGTCCAGTAGGAAAAAGCCTACCTGCAAAAGAAGCTTGGAAGTCCTGTTGCAATCTATAGCATCCTCATGGTTGAATACTCTTTTCATGCTCCCAACACTAGTCGGTGTATTCTCATATAGATATTCGAATGAATTTATTTCAGACCCTCTTTCGTTTGTTATGTCAGAGGATTCTTCAAAGCTGTTCAGCCCAGTAGTGCTATCTGTAGTCCTTGAATTTTTATTTGACATCAAGGATTCAATCTGCTGCCTTAAGAGATTGATTGTTTCTTGCATCTCTGTGTTCTCCACTGTCTAAATACAGATAGTAATTCATCACATGGTATGTAAGGTATAGCATTAGCACAAACAAGACAATTTAGTAATTTTAGCCAATATGACCATTTACCTTCTCTTGCAGTTGCTCCTGGAGGACTCTGTTATCGGCAGATTTGATCTACGTGAATTGTAGGCACAATTAGTTAGTAATTCCAGTTGAAAGTATTTTAGACAGATAACAATCATTGAATTTGGTTCGACATACCTCAAGCTCAAATGTCTTCTCATTTAGTTCAGCAGCAAACCTAGATAATGCCTGCATGAAGACCAATATAGAGATACAATAGTAATAAATAACACGTTACAAAAATAAATGTATATATATATTTTGCATGATTTTCTCAATTCATGACTTAAAATACAGTTTTCACATATTTACCTGAGACATCTCAACAATGCTTGAACCATAAGGAGATATCTCCACTGATCCAATCATCCGTTGCTCTAGAACCCCAATCTGAAGCTTTTTTTCTCGTATTTCATCCTTCAACTTTTGTACCTTTTCCTGAATCAAGTTACCATGATAACAAGCAGAATGACATTTTTCACTATACACTTAATATGGGTTCAGGAGAAAAAATCTAACGCATACAATGTAAACCAGCTAGCACTGAGCTTCTTTACCTGAAGTTTGGAGTCTCCAGGGGCCTTAGCTGCTTGCTCTGATAACCGTTTCAAAGAACTGGTGGATAAAGCTACTTCTCCAGCTAACATTTTTATCTGCTCACGGAAAAGTTCCATTTGATCTGTAATGGTGCTCCCAGACTACAAGACAATAGATTCAAATTTAGATAAATATCTTGAGACACGTGAACTAATAGCTATTAGCTCGTAAAAATTCAAGTTGTGTTTACATGCATAGTTTTACGATAATCTCAAAGTTAATGGGAACAAATTATTCGCCACTCAAAATATAATCTCAAGTAAATATTATTCGCCACTCAAAATATAATCTCAAGTAAATCATACTACTTACCGGTGGTAAGCGTCTCATGCCTCCAGCTATGCTAATCAAATCACCTGCTTGAGTTCTTTCAGGAAAAGAATCAGCAGTAGAGATACTATCTACTTTTCTACTGATTGATTTCCTCGAAGCATCTTTTGTGTCACTAAACATAACTTTGCGTTGTGATGATTTTGTTGATGAAGCAGGTGATTCACTTGCCGAACAACTCTCATTATCGGCACTCAATGACGAGATTATGCCATTTTCAAGCTTCTGAACCCACAACATAAAAATATGTTGTTCTTATTAAAAAAAAAATCAACAAATAAATAAAAGTTGCTCATCTAACAAGAACACAACAATATGAGGCTGAGAACAGAAAAAGAAGCATCATGGGGCATACCTTTAATTTGAACCAGCTAAGCATCCCTCTCCCCTTGTTCCTTTTGTAATCCTTGACTATATCATCAAGACTTACGGCATCTCCCTTACCATCCATAGAAACTTCAGAATCAATACTTCCAGCTTCTTCATCAATCATGCTTTCTCGTTTTCTACCAGGCAAGTAAGCTAGCTGCATGTGACAGGCAGATAGATACAAGGGGGAAAATAGAGGGAATTAAGATTCAATTACAAAGTAGCAACATCAGATGAAATGGTAATAATATCTTGTCTATCATTATAAAGACAATGGATTTTGTTTTCAGTACCTCATCTTCTCCGAATGAATGCCTGCGCCTGTGGCTTAGCTTTTCGAGGATATCTGGTTGGAGAGTAGTTTTGGTTGAAACCAAGATTAACTTGGTTAGTCTCTGAATCCTTCCCATCAAAGCAGCTTTGGCTTGTTCCTCCTCTTCCAATCTTGATTGCAACTTAATTTGTCCAGCTTCTAACTACAGTGTGTAAGTATATCAGAACCGATAGCCAACCAGTATGATTCGAAAGAGAGAAAGAAGATAGCTAATGTAAATAGGAGCCATAATAATTAACTTCTCCTGATAACAAAATTTGATCAGAACAAACCTGGAGCTTTAGATTAACTAAATCTTCTTGGCTTGGGGCCACTGGATTTTCTCTCTCCATCATGCCGCGCTTTAATAGCTCGAGCTCTTGCTTTAAATTAGATATTTCTCTCTGGTACTTCTTGATGAGAGACTTTTCGTCCAAGATCTGTCGAAGAAAACCAAATATTAACAAGAGCGTTGAGATATCCTAAATATTAATTTTCTCACTTATCTCACCTTATTTAGTGATGCTTTGATTTCGACATGTTTACTACGGTGAGCGAACTTAAGAGTGTTGTGCGTTTCTTCAGAATTACTAGAAGCTGGGGTCACTGTGCAAATAAGCTACAGAAAGGTTCGAGGAAGAATCAGAGCACTATAAAAGCAGTCAAAGCTAAGATAAAATTCCATAGACTAATGCTAAATTTACGAATTTTCACATTAAAACTTACGGAAACTCGACCGTGGCCGCTAAGAGATGACTGCAACAAGCGTGTAAGTTTCGAATCTCGGTATGGTATATGAGTGGATTTTCCGTCTGTCAATTTGGATATAACCTGGATTGTGAAAGACAATGTTAACTCACATGAAAAGAATTCAAAACATGCACAAAATGGAGTGAGGATAGCAGAGAGTCAAACATTCAAAATTAGATGCCAGATGTTCGGCAACAACTCAAAACATTAATGGTCGTCCTATTTTCAAGCTAATATCCTAATCTAACTCAATAAAAAGGTTTCCAGCTAGCTAGTATCCAACGTCAGCAACAGAAAAGAGGAGGTGAATTATCCAGCAGCAATGAAACCACATTTCTTGGATAATAAGCAATAACAGAAAGTATAATATTATAAAGACATTGGAAACTAACCGAAATTATTACAAAATCAAATGATTAATCATGCTGCCCAAGAAGAAAGAGATATAGATCGTAACATACACCTCCATACTTGTAAACATGACGAATGGTGACAGAATGAAAGAACGTGGACAAGTGCCTTACAGTGCCAAGAGTGAGTAAGCTTTTATTGATGTATGAACCCTCTTTTCGCCTCAGCCCAACCGTCCCTGTTTTTGAACTTTCAGACCCTGCCAAATCAATTAAATGCTATAAAAGAGTTTAGTATGATTATACTAAACATTGTTTACAAAAAGATCAAAGAAATTTTTACAGAACCTCATTTTACAAGAAATATAAGATGAAATGAATTTGTGAAGAAAAAAGGGGGAAAAGAAATAAAATAAAATAAAACTTAAGCATTCAAAAGTACTGGATATCAACTCTACTTACAAGTTCTACAAAATGTTTGCAGAAGAGAGCAATAATAAATCACATCACGAACACATTAAACATACCAATTGTGATAAAGCTACTCCTTCATTTTCCCCATGCACACTGCTTTCTATAGTCTGTGAGATGAACAAACCATCAAAGACCAAGGAATGAATGGGTCAATATGACACATTTCTTCTTCGCGGTTATCAACAAAAAGAAAAAATGAAAAAGAAAAATCAATGTCTGCCCTAATTACAATCAGAGAAAAAAAAATACACCTTTTCAGCATAATATAGCAGAAGGCAAGGTAAGGTCTCTTTCCTCTAACAACAAAATAGAAGGAAATACGGATGCAAGATTTCAAGGTGCATTTTTAAGGTATATTACCGAAGCCACATTAAGGAGAAAGAAACATGATCATCATTATCTCAAGCAACCCTGTAGCAGTCAAAGACTCACAAAAAAGACAGCAATGTCTATGAATAGCAATACCATCGAATAACACAAGTATACCAAAGCAACAGAGATTGGTCAAGCTTAAAGTGTAACTTTGTTGTTCAAACTATCTACTACATATGAGTTTATTAGGTGAACCTGTACATGAACCACCAGGCCACACCCATAAAGGTTAAGCCCTAGCAGTCTTTGGTAATGCCCGACAAATAGTTGCTGAAAGAAACCCATTTATGCAACCAATACATTTATGATTACAGTTCTTCATCAGGTGAAATGTAATTAAATCCATCTAATCCCACCAACTAATGCAACTAAGACACATTTTTCAGTGACAGTACAAGATAAATCCAAAGACAGCTTCATACGGAATAAGAATAATAAGAGTCATAATACCAAAGTGAAAATAGTGTGGCTTCGACTGCTTAGTAAATTGAAGTTATTAGAACCCACATGCCTATGCTCTGCAACAAAATCGAAAGCAAATGAGGGTTCCCTTAAAACAAAAACAATACATAAATGATTGTACTCATGAATTTGGACATCAGTTTACCTTCACCAGATGCAATTAGTGAAAGAGCGTGAGCAGGCGACAGGACAACCTCTTCTTTTATTCCTTCAACATAAATACCCTGCCAGATAACAATTTGGGAGTCCTTAAACTCAAAGATGACACTTTTTGTTTGTTCTTGAACCACAATGAATGAAGAGACATGTAACCAAACATGAATATATTAAACTCATGAATAAACATGGAGTATTCCTATCAGTCAATTGTGTTAGAACGGCCAAATTTTTTGTATGTCAAAATGGACACCTGATCAATATAAAATATCAATAATGATCTGTCTTAATTTTCTACACAACATTTTCCTTTTATACAATTTGACACTTGCCAAAGATCCACGTTATGGAGTATAATACATATGCAAAAGAAATTTAGACGAAAATATTAACAAAAATGAACATCCATTGCCATTGGCTTTCTAGTAATAATCCAAATATTGATGTTTCATGCCATGTGACAGCAGTAAGGCCAGAAAATGCATGTATATGGAAATATTTGTGATAAACTAAAAGTGATAAAACCAAAAGCATCAGTTGTTGAAATAATGCATGCATATGGAGATATTCACGATAAACCAAAAGCATCAGTTGTTGAAAATCACACAGTATACTGATGTACCTGAGAGTCTTCTCTTATTCTTAGGTTTTGTCCAGTGGGATCAAGCAAGTCATTGATGACCTAGATTTCCAAGAACCAAGTCATAAAGAAGAATCAGTATTGATGAACTTAAGTGGAAGCCGGCAACGCATTTATAGCACCTAGAGCTCACACTTTAGTTCTATTATCATTTACCATGAGCATTAATGAATCAGGTTTGTACAGAAGGCACTAAAGTCAAGAGAATAAGCATCCTTCATTTAATTTTATAATACATTCATCATCATGCAATGATATGTCCAAGTACTTCATATGGACAGATATAATATGAAAAAGTGGGAGTACCTGAGATGATCTAGTCAAGGATGATCAAAGATTAATACGAGTGAAACATTTCCTTTTAGCTTAAATCACTTCAGAACGAAAGCCATTGCAGACAATCAAAATAATAATGGACACCATGCTAGATAGTGAAACTAACCTCATTGTAAATTTCCAAATAAGAAACTCGGAGGAGAAATTCCCGTCCAGGTGTCTGATACAGCACAAAAGGCAATGATTTAGAGCAAAAGTTACCAAATAAATTAGGAAACGACAACACCACTTGACTCTTGTGCTGGCCCACTTAAAATGGATAAGAGCCTACCTCTTGTATCATTCCAAAGACGTCCTTAATAGCCAATGGTATGATTCCAGGTGATTTTTGTTCCCCCTGAGATAAAGAAGCAAAAAATTTACATCATCAGCATCGAGGGGAAAAGGTTCAAGATGTGCCAGCCAAGTGTAACGGTTTCCTCTGAGTCTGGAATCAAGAAACGTAATACACCAGCTATATTGTCGTGTAATAAATGCATTTTTTAACTTTCTAATATCATGGAGGACAAGAATCATGGATGTGAAGAACAATTACATGCATCGTATGTGTCTTTCCACTGCTAGTAACACCATAGGCAAACACTGTGCCTACAAAATGAAACAGAAGGAGAAACGAAACTAGCATCATTAATAAGAAAACCAATACGAATGGGTATAGAAAAAATTAAGTCCCATTGGATAAGAGCACAGATCAGTCTCGTTTTGTTGCCAAACAAACCATATATGGTTATGCTCTCAATAAGGGAAATACAAAACTCTCACTCAATTCACGCACACAGACAAACACAAAAGAATAAATAAATATATATAAATTGTTGTGTAAAAAACCGCATGACAATAACCAGCATAAAGAAAGTGAGATTTAACTCAATACGGATATTTACAAGGAAGCATACCATTTATTCCTTGCATGGCACCACTTACAGCATGATGAGCTGCAACATCATAAACCTGCCGTGTAGTTGTTGCAGGACCAAATACTCTGTCTAATAAAATAAAAAATTTTGGTTAGCTTAGGAAATCAACTGTAACATTAACCTACTTATAAGGAAACAGCTTGTAGCCTTGTACTATAAACATTATAAGTCCCACTCTTAATAACAGCAACAATTTGTATATTAAACATTGAGATAGTGTATTTTCGTTTTTATGCACAAAATCGAGTACTAACCAAAGTCATATTCAATCTCGGAATTGAACTCATTGCGCACGGTATAGTCTCCATCAGCGTACCATGCGACCTCGTCGCCTTTACTAATCTCCCTAGCACTGCAATTGGCAAAAGAAAGATAGAAGAAAATTAATTAGCAGCAAAAATAATACGACAAATCACTCGACAATTTGAAAATAGCACACGCCCAAAGCAAATTATCGAGATAATGTGAGGAGATGCAGCTAGAGATAAACAAATACGGCCAAACAGAATCTCCTATTTTCACCTGAGAGGACGAAACCGCACGGTGACCGTGACATTTTCCTTAGCTTTGCCGGGAGGCGCCGTGGTCGGGTGCCGGGGAGCTTGTTGCTTTGGAAGCAGCACCGCCGCCGATGAGGACGAGGCATTGTGGCCGGGCGAAGGTCTAGGCGGAGGCGGAGGGGTTCTCCGGGAGCGGAAGGGGGAGGCNAGAGAAAAAAAGTTGTGAGAGAGGGCGTTTGAAAAATGGTGAGGGTGAATTTGAATTGGGGGAGTGGGGACAGAATATCCGCCGTGGCAGTGGCGATGCACACGGTGGACCGGGGCGGTGGTATCGAGGCTGTTGGAACCCCTTTACCAAAAAATGCATGCCTTAATTCCAATTTCAATAATAATAGTACGGTTGTTGTGGCAAAATGCCAAATATTATTTATTATATGGATATAAAAATATAAAAAAATATTAGTTAAAATAGATCTCTTAATTTTTTAAAATGTATAATTTGTTAATTAATAATTAATAATACGTAATTTTAGATAAAATTGGACTAGATATTTGTTTAATAAATCAAATCATTTAAAAAAAATAAAATGGTGTGAACATCTCTTAATAATATTGATTGAGTTTGTTATTCACTTGGTGGTACCAATTCACAAATCTTACTTAAAATTTGATTTGATTTGAACAATTCAAATAAAAAGAATCATATAATTTGTCCTTAATCTATTACATCAGATTTATCTTTATTTTTTACTCTCTAAAATGTTCTAATTTTATACCAACAACATTCACACGACAAATACATATACAATTATTTTTTATCAATAAAATTTTCACATAATATAAATTGACATGCCAAATATTTTGATATTTTAGTTAAATAATTTAATATCAAATATTTTGGTATTGATTTCATGAATAGAATAGTGCATAGTTCACAACATATTTGGTAAAATTAATTATGTTTATCTCTTTCCAGTCTATTTGAACAAACCACATCATTATTATATAATGTGTACGCTTATTTCTTTCAGTTATATCTCTTTAAACAAACATTCTTACTATGATATGATAAATAAATAATGTTTATCTCTTTGAATTATGGTTATCATTTTAAATAAACCTTATAATAATGATAAATATTTTTTATGGGATAATAACTAACAAATCCGAGTGAATCTAGTTATATGTGTGAATCCGAACAGAAAAAGAAAAATAGATTCAAATCATTTACACTTCATTTTATAAGAAAAAATCATGTGCAACTTTTAAAACTCGGTCACCACCCTAAAATTATGGATTCTTATTTTTTTTCTTAACAAACTTGTAGAGATTTTGGTGAGTTAACTTAAAACAATTTGTTTTTGAATAAAAATTGGTGCATATTTGATGTTTACACGACATTTTTCAAAAAACACGTGAGATTTTGTTATTTAAAATCGTGAGATTTTGATGGCAATATTCAGTTCATTTTTGTTTTCGTAACAATTTGTTGCACATTTACGAAAAAATTGTTTATTCTTTTACGTTAATTAACAACTTGTTTGATATTTTGGTTAAACAATTTCAGATTGAGGGTCTTCTACAAAATTAGTCAAACATTATCATTATGATATAATATTATTTCAAAATTATTGACAGTCTCATTTGAGACGTGTGATTTATTTTTTTAGAGATTAATTTATTTTTCAAAATGTTTTTTCTTTGTGGGTTAACAATTAACAAATTTGAGTGAATTTAGCTACAAAAGGTGTGGTCCGAGTGAGAAAAACAAAAAATTCAAATCAATTTCACTTTATTTTTTAAGGGAAACACGTGCGCAACTTTTCAAATTTTAATATTACGCTAAAATTGTGTATTATTTTTCTTGTCAAAATTTACAAAGATTTGGTGAATTAATTTCAAATCAATTGTTGTGGAATAAAATCAATGTTGCATTTACGTGATATCTTTTAAAAAGCATGTGATATATTATTGTTTAAAACCGTGAGCTTTTGATGACAATATTCAATTCAATTTTTCGGTAACAATTTGTTGCACAATTAGGAAACACTGTTTATTCTTTTTACATTTTTTTTTTTTGTATTTTAGTTAAATAATTTCCGATCGAATATTTTGGTATCAATTTCATGAATAAAATCATGTATATCACATAAACATGTTTGGTAGTAAAACAATTATGTTTATCTCCTTAAAATATATTTATCTCTTTAAACAAACTTTATCAAACCAACAAAGGTGTACATAAAGAAGTGTTCAATAATATATATTTCATTTTCATGATATTTTTAATGTCATGAGACCAATACAAAAATACTTTTTAAAAAACAAATAGGTAATAAATGCTCCCGTGCATTTCGCACGGGTGGATACCTGAATCCACTGGTTGATTCGAGAAGCGTACCTGAATCCATAGGTGATTGATTTGGGGATTTAGCCTTCTAGGTCTATACGATCGTGTACCTTTTGGAGACCCCTTTACCTTTCTCCGTAACCTCTCTGTCGATGGGATGCAGAAGAGTGTCTGATTCAATCGTTCGATTCATATGACCTAGGGACCACAACCCTTATGTATATTAAGTTACATTGGGCATCTCTATTTTACCCCATCATTAAAATAGAGAAGACCAATTAGTTTCTATATATTAAATGCCCTCACCCTATTGATACTTTAAAGCCCAACAACTTTTTTTTTTTTTTGGTACAAAAGAGAGGCTAGTGCCAGACGGCATTAGCGGCAGACGTTCTGTGGGTAAGAGACACCCCTAACGTCGTGCTCAAGCCACGGAATGACACCGGACGGTGGAGCTAAAAGAAAATGAAGACCAAGAGAACTTGAGGCTGCCTGAGACGCCAAGTGATCCGCTGCAAAATTCGCCTCTCGAAAAATATGCAAAATCTTAACCTGCCAGTCCCAACTGAGTAGTTCTCGTATACCTAAGATCAAGCCCGAATGCACACCATTTATGTCCTCTTTGTTGTTCAAAGCCCACGACGTTCCATTGTCAACTTCCGCTTCAACCTTACGATATCCCATATCCCACGCCATACTAAGCCCATGCAGTAATCCCCATAACTCCGCACCAGTGACAGAGCACAACCCAATATTCATCATTAAACCACCTAGCCATCTACCATGAGTATCTCGAATCAACCCACTAGCAGAGGCCATACCCGAGGATTTATTGAAGGCCCCGTCGGAATTCAATTCAACCCAAGACGTCGGTGGCGCCTCCCAACGGATAAGACGCGGGACTCTAGAAACCCCAGTACCTCCAAGTTTCTGATCACCTTTCGCAAATTGCAGAACACCATTAACGAAGTTTTTAATCTCATTCACCTTGCCACTGGCCTCCATCCCACGACTTTGAAAAATAGCCAGATTTCGCCACTGCCATAATTTCCACAAGGTCACCCCAAACACACACTCTCAATTTTCGATATTATTAGGGGGCACGAAAGAGTTCAATAAATTGGCAGCAATCCATGCCCTCAAATCTAACATGAAGAAACTATCCTGCACATGCAATGGAACGAGATGAAACCATATCTGAGACGCATCTGGACAATCACGGAGGACATGCAGCAGGGACTCCGCCATGGGCGGACACCGGTGGCAGCTCAAGCAAGAAGTTAAATGTCTCCTCCCTCGCTCGACATTGGTCAAAAGGCGACCTTTCAATACCAGCCATAAAAAATGGCGAACTCTTTGCGGTGGGCCATCTCCTGAAGGTTCTCCATAGGCCCCGATTATCGCTCTCTTCCGCCGGACTGATTAGCCGGTAAGCGGAACTGGTTGTAAATTTCCTGTTCCCCGAAGCCGCCCAATAGAGACGATCGTCTCCCAGCTCCGGTCGAGGCGCAGGCGTCCCCGCTATGCGTAGGATAGCCGAGGGAGAGAACAAGTTCTCAAACAGGTCCCATCTCCAAGCCATATTATCATTCACAAAAAATTTCACGGGAAGCTCCAGTAACTCTGGTGGGATCGGCGCTAAGGCGCCCTCGCAAAGAGTCCCAGTACCCGGTAACCAAGCATCCAACCAGAACCTCGCTTTAGCGCCAGTGCATACAGCCCATTTAGTTCCCGCCGAGACATGACACCAAACCTTTCGAGTGGCCTGGAATACATTCGAAGCAGATGCTTTACGGCTATTAGGGTTAAACGGGTCAGATCCATATTTAGCTTTCCAAGTGCGAACCCAAAGAGCATCTGATTTCGTAAAAAAGCTCCAACCCAATTTCATCAGAAAAGCCTCGTTCATCCGTCTTTGTGACTTCAACCCCAACCCGTCTTCATTTCGAGGCTTACAAACTTTGTCCCAACGAACTAAACTTAGTTTGCGTTCATGAAGCGTGGCACCCCAAATGTATCAGCGACAAATCCTTTCGATTCCCTCATAAATGGAGTTAGGGAGATGTGTTGCTTGCATGGAGTAGAACGGTAGCGAACTCACTACCGATTGAGCTAGAACCACCCGCCCCGCCATGGATAAAGAGGTTGCTTTCCAGCCTGTCAATCTCGATTCCGCCTTCTCGAGGATATGATCATAAGATCGTTTATGAACCCTGCCATGGAGGAGGGGGACTCCCAGGTACTTACCCAGATTATCAACAAGGGTGAACCCCAATCGTCGAGCCAAGTCCCGTTTGGTGTGAACCTAGACATTCTTCGAGAAAAAACAGTGGTCTTTGGCTCGCTAATTTTTAGACTCGACTCGCTACAAAACTGCTCAAGTACCCTTTTCAGTAAATCAACCTGGCCTGTATCCGCCTCCAAAAATAATAATAAATCGTCGGCAAATAATAAATAAGGTATTTTTAGAGCCCCACTTCCCAACACCATCGGCTTCCACCGAGCGGCCTCCACCTCAAATTGGATCGCATGTGCGAGCCTTTCAATACAGAGGACAAATAAATACGGTGAAATGGGATCTCCCTGCCGCACCCCACGAGAAGGTCGAAATTCCTCGCTAGGAATACCATTCCATAATACTTGCATCGAAGCTGAAGTAACACACTTCATTATGTTCGCGACAAAGCTAGGTGGGAAGTCGGCAGCCGTTAAGGATGCTTCCAAATAATCCCAACGTAAAAAATCGTATGCTTTTTCCAAGTTAACCTTCACCACCATATACCCTTTGGTCCCCGATTTGATACGCATGGAGTGAATCAGTTCTTGGGCAACAACAATATTATCATGAATGTGTCTTCCGGGTATAAAGCTAACTTGCGTTGGACCAATTAATTGAGGAAGAACCGGCTTCATTCGATTGGTTAACACTTTCGTCATCAATTTATAAATCACATTCAACAAACTGATGGGCCTGAAGTTCCTGATGGTTTCTGGTTGATCAACTTTGGGAATGAGTACAAGAAGGGTCTTGTTGATGTCTGTCGGCATTGCACCTCCTCCGAATTTTTTTTTAATAAATTGGCATACCGGAGGCCCGACCACATTCTATTGAAAGCCCAACAACTTTAAAACTTAATTGATCACTTCTATTTGAGCGTCTTTATTTGACAACCACAATACAATAATTATTATTTCACATATTAGCCCAATGTTGGATTAATCGATTAATAAGTGATTCAACTACATTAACCTTATGTTGGTTAACGGGTCATCACTATCACCGTCGATATGCACCAACCCGCCCAGTAGAAACGGGACGCCAGGGCTTTATCCATATCCCCTTCTAGAATGGGCGCTCCCTCTAGAATAGGCCCCCCCGGAAGCCAATGGAAAAGGAGGGCATCCTGGAAAACTATCAAATACATAGCTAATCCTGTGCATTTGCACCTCCGCATAGTGCATAGAACTAGAATTAATCCTGTGCATTTGCACAGGTTATCAAAAATAAATTGATAAATAAATATTATAGATAAAAATATTAATTAAAATAAAATTTATTAATATTATGTATCACATTTATAATTGAATCATTACATCAATGACTCTAAGTTGGATTTTTAAAATTAAAAAATAAAACAATATAAATATAGATTTACCATACATTAATGACTATTATTATATGAATAAAATGAATCATCTAATTTTTATACCCCTTGAGTATTATATTAATAAAAAAACATAAAATTATAAACAAAGTAAAAAAATATAAAATGGACAACACAAATATTATATACCATATAAATTGATATTTTTAGAGAATTATTGTACAAATGAAATACATAATATATTTATACAATAAAATACATGTACGTGTAGATTATTTCATCTAATAATTTTTCACTTATATGCAAATACTTATATGGTATTATTTCATTATAAAAATATGTGGTCATTACTAAATATCACAATCGCTTATTACAAATTAATTAGAATGATTTTTTTTTTCACAAATATGAAGGTAAAATAAAGAACCATTGCATCTCAATAGACTAATGTATAAAATTTATCTATGTTACAACAATTAAAATTTAATTTTGAATAATAATTGAAAAAAAAACATATGTTAATTAAGCTAACATTAATTTACATTATTAAAATGACTGTAGAAAAAAATAGGTAGGATTTTTTATGAATTAATAATGAAATTCTTACAAATGAAAGCACAAAATAATAGATATGATTATGATTTATTTTTATAAATTTATTTCTAAGGCAAATTCAAATCTATATATTACTTTACTTCTAATAATTCCTTAAAAATCAAATTTAATGTACTAATTACCAAAAGAAAGGATATATTATTGTAATGGTTACATAAAATATGTAATATTACTTATCAAATTAACAAATAGTGCAATTATACTAATTTTTAAGACAACCATTACAACTTTATTAAATATGAACTAAAATATTAATTACAAATCAATAGATGTAACCACAAATAAAATAGAACTTGAAACATAATATAAATAGCTCAAAAATATTGGCGGAAAAAAGTAGGCTATTGCATTAATATAATAGCCTACAATTATATATATATAGATATAGATAAGATAGTACATATTATTTAGTATCTTATTTTCCCTTTTTTTTGGTTTAAATTATTTTTAACTTGTGTTATTTTTGCTATGGTTTTGAGGCTGATAAAAATGATTTTTTGCAATTTTTTCGATAAAACAAAGAAAAATAGATTGCTGCATTGGATGTTTCAGATTTTCTTTTTCCCGTTCTTCATACTATTTTTGCTTTGGCACTTTCAATATTTCTAAAATCAAACCGACGTCGAACGTTTTTTTGGTTACAGAATGTTCGATAACCGATTGAAAGTCAGTTCGATAACCGAACTGTTTCCAGCCTTTATATAATGTACATATCGCATTTTATAAATTTGATAATTTATTAAACAATATAATTGTAAACTATTTTATTTTTACTTATATATGAATCATTATATATATAACATATTATGTAATAAATTATACAATTTTTATAAATGTAAGAGATCACAACTTAGTTGAAAAAATATTAAATTATTATTATTATAGTAACTGTTTACGCAATTTTACAGAATTTTCTATTCAATTACAATCAATTAAATGTTTACAAAAATGCTCAATGAGGTAAAAAAAATAA